TCTCTCTCTCTCTCTCTCTCTCTCTCTCTCTCTCTCTCTCTCTCCCCTTCTTCTTCTCTCTCTCCTTGGTTGGAATGAATAGGAGAGAAGAAAGGCTGATGTATGAAAACAAAACACTTTAGTTTAAACTTAATTATAATTAAAGGCTATTTAAAGTTTTCTGGTATGAAGGCTAACACCATATTTATATTTTCTCTTCCTATATAGATAAGCAAGCTTCAGAACAGACTGCTAAGAAAAGAATCTGCATTGAGAGCAATGAAATCCAAACTGGATAGTTACAGAGAACGTAATGCCAGACAAAGTTCTCAGATCTGGTCTTTGAAAGGACAGGTCAAAGATTTAGAAGAAATCAATGCTTCGGCCAAAAGGATAAGCACTTTAAAAGACATCAGCATTGAGATGCTAGAAAAAGAAAAGTGGGTCTTAAGGGAAAGAATTTCAGAACATGAAAGCCTTCAAAGGTAAGGTGTTTTCACATTTGTTTCCACATTGGGTGATATGGTGAAAAATTCACTTATCAAGATGGAGGATTCCTGGCTCCTAGTCCTGCTAACTCACTTGCTTGATGACCTTAGGCAAGCCATTTCATCTCTCTGAGACTTAGTTTCCTCATATGTTAAAGGAGAGGGTTGAACTCTTAAGGTCTCCGCTAAAAAAATCCTTGATTCTCCAAAAGGTTTCATCATTAGCTTATTACTGTCCTAAGATCTCCATACTGATTACCAATCACAGAGTTTATATCAAGTCAAAAGGCACATGCCTTAGGAGTCACCATTATGTAAAATATTCTGCTTTTTGTTGGGTATAGAGACAATGGCCTGCTGTGAGGAGAAAGGAGAGCCAATATCCTTTTTGGGGTGTGTGTGTACAGGAGGGTTTAGTGGAGGTTAGGGGGGTGGATTATAGCCCAGGTTATTTAAAATACAGATACTTGAGGAAGTCCCAGGAATTACTAGTAGTGTAAGGCTCAGGAAGAGGAGGCCTAGAAAGGATTGTGCCCAGACATGACACTTGAATTGTATCAGTCTCCTATTTCCAATTCTACATTGCTTATAATATGACCCACCATCCAACTGACTGTGAGGTTGAGGGCTATTGGACACCCCTCTTACAAGGTAAAAGAAAATGAAGTCTTGCAGCACAGCTGCAAGAAGACAACTTGTCTTCTGAGATGTGCATTTCCCAAAATGTTTTAGAAGAGAAAATACTCAGGAGCCTAAAATGGAGTTGGGAACCAAACTTTTATGAGGAACAAGCAATCAATATAAACTTAAGGGCCAGTAAAAGGGAGAAAAAGAGGATTCTGTCTGGTTGCCAAGACACTTGGCAAGGTTGAAAAGAAGGACAATTAAAGGCAACAATCATTAGAATGACCCTTAAGTGGCTAATCATCTCCCAAAGGTAAACCACATTTTCTAGCAGCTTGACCTTTGCCTGGGTGTCATGTCTGCAACTGTGCAGAACTTCCATTTGGCATGGAGAAGGCTTCAATAAAAAAAGTTTTAAATTTAAACAAAAGTATTAATGAGTGACTATTCACCTTTTTTCACCAAGACCTAAGGAGTGCACTCGATGTCAGTGTGTCAGTAAATGGCATGATCAACATGATTTATTTCTCAAGGAAAAGGAAGTGTCTACAAGAGAGCAAATGCCATTCCTCCTTAACTGGGAAAGTAAAACCACCCAGACCCAATGCCAGAGCTTTATCCATCACCTAGCTATTCTTCTGAGTAACACCCTCATCACAGTCCCAGCTACAGAAGAAGCTGTGAGAGAAAGGATACAGGACATTATTGCTGATGAACAGTCTTGGATATCCGTGAGTATGTTGGCAGAAAAGCTGCCACTTTAAAATTTTCTGTTCATAAGGTCTAAGTTGGTTCCTAAATTAGGAAATGCTTGTGACTGCTTTTAAATTTTAATTCCATTTCTGTTGTTGAGTTTTTGCCATAGTAAGGCAAGAGAAAGAGTGAAACATTCTATAAAGCTAATTTTACTGTTTCTCATATCAGGATATTTCCAATTGTTAACAAAGTAATGCTGTTGTTAACAAGCAGTAATGCTGCTTGTATCAGTTCTTAAGGAGATCTCACAAAGTCACTTGGAAGCATATCTAGTGAACATGTGATGGTCTTCCAACTTTTTTTTTTCCCCATAGAGGATGCTTATCTATTGTATGTAAAACCAAAAAATTATCAATAAGACAAAGTCAAAGCACTTGTTCAATTTCATCAGAATAGTTGCACCAATAGAATCACATAGATAATTCTTAACCCTGAAATCATCATAGGGAAACTGTCTCTTCCTCTCTCTCTCCACCTGCAATTCACACAAATGTTGATGTTTATTTTGGATTGAATGTGTGTTGCAGAGTCCTTCCATACAAATCTTGATTTTGCCTAGGATTCTAGCTCCTTTAATTGTGGAGGGTTCTCTGGTGTCCTGAAAATTTCCATGGATGGTTCCATTGTTAAGTTTAAACTAAGTGTTTTGTTTTCATCTATCAGCCTCCCTTCTCTTCTCTTCATTCCAACCAATGATCTACACAATAGATTTCCCTAAGGGAAAATCATATCAGCATAATGAAATCCATATTTTGACTATAATAATTGTAATTGGGTGTTTGGCTTCAAAAGGAAGGAGCGAAAATGGGATATAGGGAACAATCTCACTTTTGTAACTTCTGTGCAGAAAACCAATGTCCTGCTGCAAGAGATCCAGTTGCTAACTCTGCAGGTGGAACAGCTGCACCAACTCTATCAAGAGGCTGTGTGTGACTCACCCCAAACTGAAGAAAAGATTCGGGAGCAGAAGTCCCTAAAATTCTCAGAAGGGAAATGTGCCACTGATGATTTCTTTCAAGGAAGATGGGATTTAGAGAAAAAGAAAGTAAGGTCCATGGAAGTATATGGCAATGAAAAACTAATATTTTTAAAATTATATTAATGGCCTCAATTTTACCTATTGTGCATAAAACTAACATCATTATTAACATTCTTAAAGGTTTTTTTGGGGGGGAGTGTTGTTGAGGGATGACAAACTGATTAACTCTTATACTCTTGATGTTGCATAGAAGTAAGCAGAAAGTCTGTACTCCTCCTTCTTCATTATAAACACACTTGATTTTTTGAGTGTGGAAATTTGTCATGCAGTTTTAAAAGAAGATCCTATCACAATGATTATCAAAGGGAGAGATTTCAGACACAATGACCCCTAGTAGGGAGAAGTCTTTTTGAAGAGAGAACATTACTGATGGGTTGGCCAATGAGAGCCCATCACTAGGAGCATGCACAATATACTCTGGCTGATGAATTTTCAGAATCTAATGGGGAACACAGAATGCAAATTAACTAAGTGGAACCCCTTTCAACTGAGGCCCAAATAGTTCCAGGTCATCCCCTTTACAGTATTGTTGCTCATGCAGCATGGTGTAATGCGGGACTTAGGATGAGATCTGCATCTGGATCCTAGCTCCATCCATTGGTTCTTGGTTGACCTTGAATAAATAGCTTCGACTCTTGGGGTTTATTTACTCATCCATACAATGGAGATGATACGACCTAACTAACTAACTAACAGGATTGTAGTGAGGCTCAAACCAGTCAATGGATCTGAAATGCTTTGTGAACCTTGAAGTGCCCTGAAAATGGAAGGCATTATTATACCTAACAAAATTCTGTGCCACCAAAAAAAAGCGTTTGCCTGTGGGGAGTGCACTAGCAATTAATTTTGTGAATTAATTTTTTAAATCACTTAGGTGTATATCTAAATAATATGGTTGCAATTAATGAAAATTAGTCTGCAATAATGTTTTGGAAATCGGATTGTCTGGTTTGAAAAAAATTTAGTTTTACCACATTTATTTTTTTTTTAATTTGAACTCTTATCTGAGGAGCTACTAATGTTTTGATTCCATTAGGAATGAAAGCTGGCTTGTGCTGTACTTTAGGAGTGTCAATATATATTCTTTTTGTCTTCTTCTCCCCCTCACCTCTCCAAACCAATTGTACTCAGCATCAACAAAGGTTTCATCAAAAACAATTATTTCAGTGTCCATTCTAATATGAATACACAAGTAACTGCTTGTACGATTTTTTTTTTTTTTTTGGTCTGATAAGGTATTAAATGTACAGCTCTGAGCCGACCTTAAAAACACAATATAAATGTCAGGTCTCTAACTCAACTTGATGAGTACAGAGAGTTTTAAGCCTTTGGAGCTGATTATCTTTTTATGGAGGGTGTGAGTATGCTCACTGCCAATGTGGCAAGTGACATGCCCACTACTGCCATCTAGTGGTTTGGATTCTCCTAGTGTCTACTTGAGAGGATTGAATGTTCACCAATCCAGGAGCCAGGCTTCCAAGGCTCAGTGGCATCTCATTGTGATGGCTTTTCAGGGGAAGCTCCAATACTCATTTTCTACCTCTTCCTTTTCTACTCCTTTCCAGAGTATGGCCTGGCACAATAGAGAGAACCTGGACCCTGTTTAATGGGGAGGGAGGGAGGATATTACTTCCCAAGAAATCCATTAATATCTCTGTTGAGGGAAAAGCACATGAATCCCTTGGACTCTCAACCATATGGCTTGAGATGAAGGCCCCAGACCCCAAGGCAAAAAAGAGGAGAAGGAATTCTTTGGGCAGCAGGGTCCCACAATTCAGATTCTTATCAAGACAAGGTGAAAAGGTGATTTCCTGGCTTTAGGGTTATCTTGATATGAGAAGAGAGTCACGCACATGGCAGCAGTGAAATCTACACCACAATATGGGGGAGCAAAAGGCCTGAACTTTGACCCCTTATATTACCATGTATTATTTGACCAATGTAGGTCTCTCTGTTTAGAATCCCCTTCCAAGAGAGTGAAGCCCTCAGCTAGTACCATGACTATGGAAGTCAGTCTTTGTCTCTGGGGGTGAAAGAAGATTATATTTCCTCTCTGGTAATTCCAAATTAATTTCCTCCCACAAGGAGTCCAAACCACAGGATTTCTCAAGGACATTACAAGCTAGGAAAAATATAGAAATCAACAGAGGGGGTGGAAAATGCTAGAGCTAGTTTATGGACTAGTGGGAGTCCTTTCTATGTTTCCTGAGGGGTGGAACAAAGGTCATCCTGTGCCAACATCATACATGTCTTCTCTTGAGTGCCTTTATCCACACCTGTGGAAACCTATATGTTTGTTATATTCAAATGTCATCCTGTGATTTCCTTGGAGGCAGCACGGAAAGCGAAGTGCCTGCAGCTCAGACTCATGAGTCTGGGCCTAGTCTGACTCCTTGATTTTGTCTCTGTCATCGTGACCACTTCATCTGACAATAGAAGTAATGATGGCATTGCTTCTGTTGTCAAATAAAGTAGCTGGAAATAACATCTCACCCCATTCCAACTAAGCCAAAAGTTGGTTTCATGCTAATAATAGGTGCCTTTCACAAATGGAACCAAAAACATTAACAAAAAGAAGTTTTGACTTAAATGGAAATATGACTGTTCTATTACAAAGCATTTAAACTATATTGTCCCAACTGATTCTCCCAATAACCTTGTGGGGTATGGGGCACAATGATCCTGATTCTCATTTTTGAGAGGTGAGGAACTGAGGCCTAGGCAGGTGAGACAAATCTTGACCTCAAAACCTAGGCCATCTGATTTATTGTCTAGTACTCTACTTAGTTTGCTGCTGAAGTGGATGCAGGTTGTATTTGTTGATGAAATTAACTTGGATTCAAAAAAAGTACTGACCTATCACCTATGGCTCCAGTAGAGGTAACCCCAGAAACATTCACTAATTTAAGACACTCGTAAGGACTATCTCCTTTGTTTTGACGCAGGGAGAAACTCAACGGGAACAAAACAAAATGAAGACTTTGCTGACAGAAGAGTTGGACAAGAAATTCACGCAGCAAGAGAAAGAAAAAAGTCAACAGATTCTATTGAGTGCTGAGCAGAGTTTGCAGAACCCTACAACAGTAAGCCTGGAAGAAAAGATGAAGAAACTTAAGAAAGAACTCAGTGAAATTAAATTGTCAAATGAAACCATGAAAACTCAGCTGAGGAAAGTCATCAAACTCAAAGTAAGTTGAGATAAGTGAGGTTGTTTCAGAAACTCAACCAGTTTCTTTGTCGATTACTATTTCTGAAAGCCCCTTTATTTCACTTAAACAAACAGGTCCCCTTTTCCCTCTTCACTTAATGGAAAATTTCTAAACTATTAATCCTATTGTTTTCCTCTGGACCTTCTCCAAGTTCTTTACTGAGTGTTGTAGTTGTAAAGTCCCCCAAATCAACTTTCACATTTCACCAGATGTTATCTTTCAATTCAGAGACCTTTGGCACTATGGATTCATAGAGGGCTATACTTGGAGTCAGCAGACCTGTCTTTGAATTGGCAGCTCTTTGACTATGGGAAAGGCTCCAAGCCTCAGTTTCTTCACATGTAAAATAGGTCAGCCAGACCTGTACTACTCATCTCATAGTTGTTGTTGTGAAGCTTAAAGCGGATAACAAACATGAAGTTCTATATGAATGATAACTTATTCTGTACTTATGGATCAGCCAGTGAAATTGTCAGTTTATTGGCAACAGTCTAGCCAGACCTTCCCTCTTGTTTCTCTGTGTGTGGGTAACACAGAATATAAGCTCCTTGAAGCTGGGACCTCATTTTGTACTTTCTATTGAATTTTTGGTCTGAGTCATGACACCCAGTATACTTTACTTTGGTCTGAGTAGACTCTTAATTTTTATTTTGTTGTTTGTTAAGCATGATGATATTTGTGATTGTATGTCTTTGCTCCTCAATTGTGAGTCACTAGGTGGACCAGAGCATAGAGCCCTGGCCCTGGAGTAAGGAAGACATGAGTTCATATCTACCCTTACACAGTTACTAGCTGTGTGACTTCGGGCACTAATCTGTGTTCCACCTCAGTTTCCTCAACTGTGAAATGGAGTTAATATCAAACCGACTTCTCTGGGTTGTTTTGAGGATCAAATGAGAGGATCTTTGTAAAGTGCTTTGCTCACTACCTTGCTCTTAGTAGGTACATGATAAATAATTGTATGCTTCCTCTATTTTATATTTGCCTGGCATTTTAGAAGGAAGATATGTATCTGGCCTATCATATAGAGGAGAGACAGAATCATAATCATTCTCTCCTCACCCCCACAGGATAAAATCATGAAGAAGATGCGAGAATCTTTAAAAATGGTTGAAGCCTTTAAAGAGAATACAGCTCAAACAACAGACTGCACTGAGCAAGAAGCCAGAGAGGACATAGAATGGCCTATCCCACACAAAGCACCTGAAGAGGTAGTAAAATCAGAAAAAACAGGTACTCTTTTTCCCTACTTTCTAACAAGAACCATTTTTTAAAAGGGATGTCTAAAAGGTTAGTATCAATTTATCATTGTTTTGATTAAAAGTCAATTTCTCATATCTCTTGCTTAGGAATTTATAGTCTTATCCAATTACTGTGGAAATTCTTTTTGACTTTTTGTTCAAAGGTTCTTTATTTCTCATTTGACCAATTTTCCTAAAAAATCGTTCTTTTCTAGTATGAAAGTTCTCCATAAAATAATATTGTATCTTCAAATATGTTTCTTCATATCTAATTCACTATTTGTTATGCACCTACTGGCAATAGTGTATGCCCAATAGTTTTTACTTGAGTAAATACTACAGCAATGAAATTAAGTGTATTTTATATTAAAATGTTTCATGTACTTCTTAAGTTCTACAACAAATATTAATCAAGCACTTTCTGTGGTCACATTACAGTTTACTAGGAGGACAGGGGGCAGTGAGGTGGCGCAGTGGATACAGTGCTTGGCCTAAAGTCAGGAAGACTCATCTTTCTGAGTTCAAATCCAGTCTCAGACACTTATAAAGTATGTGAAGCTGGGCAAATCCCTTAACCCTGTTTCTCTCAATTCTTTATCTGTAAAATGAGCTGGAGAAGGAATTGGCAAATCACCCCATTTTCTTTGCCAATGAAACCCTAAACAGGGTCATGAAGAGTTGGATATCACTGAACAACATTTTACTACATCTTCAAGTGCTCTTTTTACTGTTAAGTTACTGTTTTCTGTTTCCTGGGATATAATATGTAGATAGATAAGCAAATATAAAGTAATTTGAAGAGGGAGTACGCATTAACAAATGGGAGCAGAAGAAGTTTTTTGTAGGAGGTGCAATACAGGGATGTAATAAGGAACCTGAAGGTTTTTGAGAAAAAGCTTGGTAAGGACAGTTCCTGACCTTAGAAAGACTATTTTGGCACTTAATGTCAAGTGTAGATCGGAGAAGGGAGGAAATGGAAGGCAAGAGACCTATTAAGAATCTTTTACAGTATTGAAGGTTAGTGATGATCAGGGCAGTGTTTGCATGACTATAGAGAAGAGGATGCAAAAGAAATTTTGAGGCTAGACTCCACAAAATGTGGCAAGGATCATACTACAACTGCTTATGTGTGTTTCATATGACCCCTAGAAGATTGTAAACTTCATAAGGTCAGGGGATGTACAGGGGTCCCTAACGACTAAGTGTAGTTTTAAGATATCGAAGCTTATTCTCAGCAATACAGTGATCCAAGGCAATTCCAAAGGACTCATGATGAAAAATGCCATCCACCTCCAGAGAAAGAACTGACAGAGTCTGAATGCAGATCAAAGCATACTGTTTTTCACTTTTTTCATATGTTTTTCCTTTGGCTCTGTGTCTTCTTTCAAACATGACCAATATGGTAATGTGGTTTGTATGATTGAACATGTATGGACTATATCAAATTGCTTTCTGTCTCAGGGAGGGGAAAGGTGAAGTAAGAAGGGAGAGGAAAAATTTGGAACTCTAATTAAACACAAATGAATGCTAAAAGTTGTCTTCATGTGTCATTGGGGAAAAATAAAATATTTTAAAAAGATATTGAAGCTCTTGTTATTATTACTTTTATTATTAAATCTTGAAACTGCTCTGAGACTTTTGGGACAGACTGTTTACTCTAATAAAAACTCTATTATTGAGCAGAAAAAGTAGATACCTAATAAATTTTGGATTAGATATTTAGAAATATATTTAAAAATACAGTATCATTTAATGGAGGCTTCATACCAACAAAGAATGATTTTCTAGGAAATTGTGTACAAACCAGGTTTGAGGCTCTATGTTACCATTGTTCATAAAAAAGTGGTTCTCTTATAGAGTTGTCTTAAACAAGTGAATGTCAAAAATCCTGTGCCACTGATGCTACTTTTTCTTTCCTTTCTGTGTGTGACTTTTTCTCCCCTATAGCCCATGGATTTTAGAGAAACTCTTAAGAAGATGATGGGCATCAACACCGAAATTCCAGACAGAGAAATCATTAATCAACTCAAGCCCATCTTACAAGCTTATGAAATTTCTTTAATTACATCTAACAGCAGATGAAAGGCTACTTTGATTGTAATACTGGTCAAGAGAACGAATGACACAAAAGACATTTGGTGCTTTGTTATTCTTCCCTGTCACCATCCAGACCTAACTAGTTTTTTTTGTAATTTTTTGTTAATTGTTTGTATATAAGATAGGTAGAAAAGATGATGGGCATTAACTTCAAAATTCCAGAGAAGGAAATCATTAACCAACTCAAGCCCATCGTACCAACTTATGAAATTTCTTAATTACATCTAATAGCAGATCAAAGGCTACTGGTGATTGTAATAGTGGCCAAGAGAATGAATGGCACAAAAGACATTTAGTACTTTTTTTTCCTTCACTGTCACCAACCAGACCTAATTTGTTTTTTG